TGCATTAAAAGGTTTTAATTTACTAATTTAAGAATTATCATATGATGGAGGCCCATGGGCCAAGGGCCTAGTTATTAGGGCTATGGTCAAGAGGTTAGAAGAGGAATGAGTCAATTCTAAAGAAAAGTCCATAGTGCTCTTCAGTTAGGCTGTGCATTAAAAGCCCATGTATATTAAGATTTGCCTAAGATGGCTTGTAAATACTTTTTGGGCTTTATATTTTGGGCCATATAGTTTAGGATTTCTTTAGTCCATGTATTTCTGAACTTTAGATGCATAGGCTAAATTAATTACATGTGCATTTACATTTTATGTGATTTATCCTTGCATTTAAGGTGAATTTGGACCCATGTGCGTCAATCACATGGTGTGGCCGAAATTCACTCTTAAATGAGAACTAAATCACATTCAAATGCAACTAGCACATGGAGTTCCGGATTCTTAGGGAAGTTGGCATCAAATTTGAATTTTCAAATTCAAATTTGGCGCCTAAGGTTTAAATTGACCATACCATGGTTTAATTTAAACCTTAGCTTAGCTTAGCTTCCTTAGCACTCCATCTTAGCCTATAAATCTAACCTATCCGTGTATTTTGAATCACTTTGGTATATTGAATGAGAATTTCATCTTCACATAAGATCAAATCCTCTAGACCAGAGTCACCAAGGAGAATACCTTATCCACCTCGCCTTGAGCTTTCCTCTTTGTAGTTTTAAGCGCAAGCTTCTTCTACTTGAGAAGCTTAGTTCAAGTTGTTTTCATTTCATCTCTTCTCATCTGAATTCTCCTCCTTGAAGAATCCTCCAGGAATTACAAGAAGAGGTGTTTGGTGCATCCATGGAGTTTTACCTCACAAAGACTCCATCATCATAGCATATTATACTACAAAAAGGCATATTTTTATCACCCCATACAGAGATTCCAAAAGTTAGTGGGAGTCAAAATTCTCAATAAGTGAAAGTGAATTTTCGACTAGGAAAATTTGAGAAAATAAGTGAGAATATATGATACTCTTGAAAATTACTTTTAAAAAATTATTTGTCAAATATTATGCGATTATATCATAGACATAATATTTTTTGTGTTAAAGTTGTCAATTTTATTAAAGACTAATTAAGAATTTTTGACTAAGTATTTTTTTAAGAATATTAAAGGTGAAAGTCAAGACAAACAAATTAATATAAAGTAGACATCAAAAGAGAGTTAATCTCTATTTGAGTATATAATTGCAAAATCGATGATCTAATAAAAGATTGTGAGCTACAGTATTTTAGGGTCATATATCTAACGACCCGGCTGGTCACTACACGCACAACACAGCACACCGGAAACACCAGGCAGAAGAGAACGAGTATATAAATATAGGATCTAGAATATATATATATATATACAAGGTCCCCAATCCGACTAGAGTTAGAGTGTACAAAACAAAATACATCCATCAATTGCTAACCAAGTAGCTAAATACATCAACAGAAATAAACTTCATCTGCCAGCTACTGACTCTCCTCAGCAGCACCAACCTAACCCTGCTCTGCTCCCATACATAGTATGATCATTGCAGTCCAAACATCATGGAGACAACAAAGGGTAAGCTAGTGTAAAGAAATCGACATACATACATAAATATGAAAATAAAAGCATCTAGAGCTATCAGCACACCCGTACAGCTTATACTACACCACATCAAATTCAGCAATATCAGCACCGCTCAGTGGCTATAATAGCACCACAATAGTGGCTAACAACACCGACATAGCGGCTATAACAGCACCACAATAGTGGCTAACAGCACCGACATAGCGGCTATAACAGCACCACAATAGTGGCTAACAGTACCGACATAGCGGCTATAACAGCACCACAATAGTGGCTAACACCACATACAGCTCAGCAATAAACAGCACAACAAAACAGCTCACAGCACAGCACA